ATATATATATATATATATATATATATAAAATGACCCAAAGAGGTCCCAGGCTTAAAATCCAAAAAGAAAGAAAAGCAAGTATATTGCCCTTTTTTCCTATTGGGAAAACCTTGTAACCACTGAAAGATTAGAACAGATAAATAGTAATGGGTCAGTATAATTAGTATCTTCCAATTATAGAAGCACCCAGATTGGCATCAAACTCACCAACTCTTGGCTGTCTTCAACAACGACCAGGCCTCCTCTGGGGAGACTACTCCTTGCCATCCTCAATCTGTACCTGAGATATGTGGCTTCTTGCTTCTAACAGTATCACAGATTATGGACTACATGTTTGTGTCCTCCCAAAATTCTTACGTTGCAGCCCTAACCCTCCGGATCTGTTTGGAGAAGGGGCTTCTCAGACAGTAATTAAGGTTAAATGAGGCCATAAGGGTGGGGACCTGATACAACAGGATTAGTGTCCTGAGAGGTAGAGACCAGAGAGCTCACTGACTTGCTCCCTTCCTCCCTGTGTGCTTGCATGAGGAAGGGCCATGTGAGGACTCAGCAAGGAGGCACCATCTGCAGGCCGGGAAGAAAGTCCTCACCAGAAACCTAGTGGGCCAGAACCTTGTCTTAGGTTTCTAGTCTCAAGAACTGTGAGAAAATAAATTTCTGTTTTTTAAGCCACCCAGTCTGCAGTGTTTTCTTGTGGTAGCCTGGGGTCACTCAGACATACTACCATATTAATGCTTACTAGTGACTACCCAAACAACAGGGATAAAAGTTTCCATTTGTTTCTTACATTTCCTAATGCAATGCTCCGTAAGGCTGGATGTTTTAGAAATGCTTTTTAAACTTAAAAATAGTTTTAAAAAGTCACAGACTTCAATAACAGCCATCATTTTCTATAAGCACTAATGGTGTTACATGCCAAGAATTTTTAAAGGCAAATAAATTTTTCTTCTTATTTAAAAAGTTGCCTGGAGAATGCTCACCCTTCTTTTCCTCACTACTGAAAACTGTCAATAGCAATTCAAGCAATATAATTCCTTTTTTTTTTTTTTGGAGACAGAGTCTTGCTCTACCCCCCAGGCTGGAGTGCAATGGCGCAGTCTCGGCTCACTGTAACCTCCGCCTCCCGGGTTTAAGCAATGCTCCTGCCTCATCCTCCTGAGTAGCTGGGATTATGGGCGCCAATTTTTGTACTTTCAGTAGAGACAGGGTTTTGCCAGGTTGGTAATTCCTTTTTAAGAATTACAAACACCAAAGTATCTTGTATAATAATAATTTATGTGCACATGTGTGCTACAAATACCAAAAAGAACTTATGCAATTTTTACATACATAAGATACTTTAGTTCCTTGATTTTATGCCATTTCACCTAAATATTAACAAACATAGGACCGTGGACCTTGGGCTTAGAGAATATTAAATTGTAGAATCATAGAATCATAAAACCATAGAATCACAGACTAGAGGTTTGTCTTGGTCAAACCTCACTATTTTTTATTTTATTATTATTTTTTTTTTTCCTGAGACAGAGTCTCGCTCTGTCGCCCAGGCTGGAGTGCAGTGGCGCAATCTCAGCTCACTGCAACCTCCGCCTCCCGGGTTCAAGCGATTCCCCTGCCTCAGCCTCCTGAGTAGCTAGGATTACAGGTGTGTGCCACCACGCCCAGCTTATTTTTATATATTTTTTTTTTAGTAGAGACGGGGTTTCACCATGTTGGCCAGGATGGTCTCGATCTCTTGAACTCACGATCCACCCACCTTGGCCTCCCAAAGTGCTGGGATTACCAGCATGAGCCACTGTGCCCAGCCAAACCTCACTATTTTTTTTAAATGAGGAAAAGCAGAGCTCAGTACTTTGCTCAAAATAACACAAATCATTCCCAGAATTCCCAGAATTGTGGGGGTTTCTTTTACTGTATTGTTAAGAAATAATTTTCTGTAAAGTAAAATAATGATTCTCAAAATTAATAAACACATATGAAAGATTTAACTCACTAATTAGGGAACCAGTAAGATGCTAAGTCTGATTTTGAAAAGAATTCAGAGAAGAAACAAATAGATAAGCTTCAGAAATGCCAGCAAGATGTAAAATTTGCAAAACTAGTCAATACGCATAGGACCATAATCTATTGCATTCTCCAAACACAACTGGCATTGTATGGACCAGAATTCGGTGCTTTACGGTCTATTTTTTATAGCATGCACAATTCTAGTACAGCTCAGAGACAGTGAGAGGCAGAGCTAATGTGATCGTTGAGCTAGACAGATAGAGTTTTTGTTTTGTGGTTTTTTTTGTTTTTTTTTTTTTATCATTTCAAAGTCTCTCACAACCTATCCTCACAGTCTCTTGCCACGTACAAGTACTCTGAAACTAGAGAACAGCATGGTGGGTGAGTTTAAAAAACAGAATTTAAAATTCTTGTTTAATTGCTAACTTTCTGAAAGGCCTCAGAAGACGACCCAAGTTCATTTCATACCAGCCCCAAAACCAAGAGACAACGAAAACTCGGCCTGTGAGAGTCCAGCACCGTCCTTGTCGACAGTGCTTCTCCTCTCCAAACGACCCCTCTGAATACGTACCATAATCCCACCAGGGCAGGAGGTTCGCAACAGCGGCTCCTCAGCCGAGTAGTAGGAAAGGCCGTATGAAATTCCGGTCTTCTGCTTCCCAGTCTCACACTCTCTCCACATCACAGGCATGGTTACCTCACAGGAGAACGTTTCTAAAGCCTCTTAGAGTCATTATGCAAGAGGTCTCACGGAACTTCTCATTGTGACCGAAGAGATGAAATGTAAAATGAGGAAACACAGGAGAAGAAACGTCTGCTACACAAACATACAAAGTAGGTGTGACGTGCTAAATAGGTAGGTGATCGAGCTCAACTCCGACCCCAGTTCCACAGCTCCGGTCAAAATCTGCGTTGAAGAAAGGAGAAACAAGGTGGCTCAAGCCTGTCATCCCAGCACTTTGGGAGGCCGAGGCGGGCGGATCACGAGGTCAAGAGATCGAGACCATCCTGGCTAACATGGTGAAACCCCGTCTCTACCAAAAATACAAAAAATTAGCCAGGCCTGGTGGTGGGCACCTGTAGTCCCAGCTACTCAGGAGGTTGAGGCAGGAGAATGACATGAACTGGGGAGGTGGAGCTTGTAGTGAGTTGAGATCGCGCCACTGCACTCCCACCTGGGCAACAGAGCGAGACTCCATCTCGAACAAAAAAAAGAAAGGAGAAACAAATAGAAACAAAGAGTGGAAAAGGTATCAAATGAGGACTCAAAAGCACTCTGAGAAAACTGTGAGGTTCATATGTACTGTGTTCAGGCAGAGAAACACAAGACATAGACATGAAGAGAACAGAAAGCAAGGAATAATTTTTAAAACTAATTTGGACCAATTTTTTTTTCTTTTAAAATGCTCGAGAGGATCACTGCAGAAAATACAATGGTAAAACAAGTAGCTGAGGGATTTTTCAGTAGCTCCACTGAAAAAACAAGCACATCTTAAAACTACAAGCTTTGAAACTTTTACATTTCTTAATTAAAATATTTCCAGATTCAGTTTATTTCTAAGCAAGACTGCAGCCCTCAAGAGACCAGTAAATTTTTATTCATCTTTTTTGAAACAAATGTGATTGACAAGTCATTGTTTGAATAGGAAACTATGAATTAAACAAACAAGCAAACAACCAGCCCCCACAGTAATGGAACCCATTCCTTGGAGATAATGACGACGCGAAGTACAAGAACCCCACTTTGAAGCACTCGTTTCACGTGAGCACTTGTTGATGGAAATATTACTAGCAAGTCCCCCTGAGAACAGCTCTCTTCATTGTGGTCTCAGGAGCCTTGGTGGTTCACATTCCTCACATGCACTGAGGGCGGTCTTGATAAAAAGTCTCTAGTAGACCTCTTGGTGTCAAGTTGTAAAGCTTGAACTTGTTTGGGGATTTTTAAGAATGTATAATAAATATTGATTTATTAGTTTACAATAAAAAAACGAATGGGTGAAAGGACCGGACACTGAGCCTCTGACCTTCATGTTTTCTCCCTGTATAGGAAGTCAAATTATAATCAGAATATTGTTGTGTCTGGCACCACAGCAAGAGCAACAAGTTGCATAAACCGTGAAGCACAACAGACTATTCATCCATCCAGCACGTCCTGGCCTAGAGCTAGACACACAGCAGCGAATGTGAGCAATCAGAATCCAGACTGGACTCTGAAAAGAGGATCTCCTTGCCACAGGATCTGTGCAGCATGGTCCTAGTTCTAGCTTTCTCTGGCCTAAATAACGCCTAATGGAGCCCTGCGAATATTCACTTTACTGACTTTAAAAAAAAAAAAAATTCATATAACATAAAATTTTCACTTTAACCATTCTAAGTGTACACTTCAATGGCATGAAATTCAAAACGTTGTGTAACCACTACCACTATTTCCAAAAGATTTTTGTCATCCCAAACAGAAGCTTTGTAATAAGTTTGCTTTTTAAAAGTGCTACAAGTTATTAACATTTGTGGTTGACATTTTTTTTTTTCAAATATCTATGTTAAGTGCTCGATGATAAGCCTGCCCATAATGTGTTTCTTTAAGAGGTCTGTGGCCAGGCGTGGTGGCTCACGCTTGTAATCCCAACACTTTGGGAGGCCGAGGTGGGTGGATGGCTTGAACTCAGGAGTTTGAGACCAGCCTGGGCAACATGGCGAGACCCCATCTCTACTAAAAACACAGAAAAGAGCCAGGCATGGTCGTGCACATTTGTGGTCCCAGCTACTCAGGAGGCTAGTGAGCAGGATCACTGAAGCCTGTGGGGCAGAAGCTGCAGTGAGCCAAGATCGCGCCACTGCACTCCAGCCTGGGTGACAGAGCGCGACCCTGTCTCAAAAAAAAAAAAAAAAGGTCTGTATGCTTCTTTAGCCACTGGGCTTATTTATGTTAAAAATATGAAGTGTTTCGCAAATTTGCATGTCACCTTTGTACAGGAGCCACACTAATCTTCTCTGACTCATTCTAATTTTTTAGTATATGTGCTGCTGAAGCACGAACTGGCCATGGGGTTTCGATTTCATAACCCCATGTTTTCCAGAAGGCAAACTTCTAAGTTCTTAAAGAGAAAGGCACCTCTCACTGCCATGTCCTCCCTCCCACCCCACAATGGTGTGGTTTCTTCTACAATGCACACTATATCACCCAACTCGTACAAATATCTAAAGAGACGCTATCATCAGCTTTTTAGAGATAAGGAAGCTGAGACTCACAGGAATGACATTTCTCAAAGCTACTCGGGGAGCAAGGGAATAACGCAAGCGTGGGTAACGGCTGTTCCATATAGGAGCGTGACTGACTGGATGAGCGTATATGTGTTTTTGCTATATAGCTAACATGAACTGGTTGTAAGACTGAATACTGTATTAAATTTGTTATTAAAATACATACTCCTCTAACAAGAAGGGACATGTAAGACAAAATAGGAAAGATGAAACGCTTTTAAAGACACAGGAGAGGCTAAAGAAGTGATTTTTAATGGATATACTCTGGGAGAAATTCTCAACTATCTCCCTCCAAATGGGTGACATTAGTCACTTAGGTGGCTGCCTTTTTTTCTGAAAGCTGCCAGACATCTCCATGGGCAAAATAAAGAAAGAGACACTCTACAGTTTATTGATGTACGTATCATGGTAGCACTCTGTGGTTTTAAGACAAATTGAAACTCCATCATATGCTGCTTTTAAAGCCCAAATAACTAAAATAAAAACTTCCAAGCACAGCAAAGGCAAAATACTGTCAGTTGTATGTGCTTAGGACACACATGCGTCTCTAAAAGCAGCGTGTAAATTTCTCTTTTCAAGCACATGTTTAAGGGAACTGGCACAGTAACAAACAAGGGGAAATACGGAGCCCAGTTTTAAAGTCAGGATTCTGTTTTTGTGGAGTCTATTTCAAGAAATCCAAATTATTAAATTCACCTCCTATCTGAGGAAGGATCTCAAAGGAAAGGTAATACAGGCTAGTCATTCCTAAATGCCAAAGTCCAAAAGACTAGTATTTAAGACCCAAGTCTACCACGTACTAAGTGTCAGACCTTGGCCATGTTACATAATCGCTCTCAATCTGTTTCCTCAAAATAATACCGCTTAACAAAAGATTAAGTAAAATAGTGCATATAAAGCACCACACACAGACTGTAGCGCATACTGAGAGTTTTATTTCAGCATTAGAAAGCATAGGAGGCCAGGCGCAGTGGCTCACACCTGTAATCCCAACACTCTGGGAGTCCAAGGAGGGCGGACCACAAGGTGAGGAGTTCAAGACCAGTCTGGCCAATATGGTGAAACCCCATCTCTATTAAGAATACAAAAATTAGCCAGGCGTGGTGGCAGGCACCTGTAGTCCCAGCTACGCGGGAGGCTGAGGCAGGAGAATCACTTGAACCCGGTAGGCGGAGGTTGCAGTGGGCTGAGATAATACCACTGTACTCCAGCCTGGTGACAGAGTGAGACTCTGTCTCAAAAAAAAAAAAAAGAAAGAAAGGAAGCATAGGAAGTGGGGGAGTCGCTGAAGCACACTGATTTAAATTACTACTCAATTAGACTAAATTTTTTAAAAATCATGATTTTCTTTGTCCCCCTCCCCAGCTCACACACAAAAAGCCAACACTACTAAATAAGAGAAGATAGTCGAGGTCAAGACTTTTAACTTGTTCTCCAGCTATTATTTTTCCCTCCCTATTTCTATTTTGGATTAAGGTATTTTAGGAGCCCCAAAATCAAAGTAGAACAGAAGAAGGAAAGCAAGAGAAAATGAGAAGCAGGAACTAGAAAAGCCAGTATCAGAAAAGCATACAGCACTTCCTCACTATACTAGCAAAGCTTACCACGCAATATTCAACAGGTAAATCCTGATGGCTGGTTGACACTGGGTTCAAGACACTAGTCCACACGCTCCACATACTGAATACCCGAAGGTAATTCAGAGAGAAACTGAGGGGGGAGACGGAGAAAACGAACCTCACGGTTCATTCTGTATGTCACTGTCTTACACGCAGGAGTTTCAATGCTTTGGGACCAACTCAAAACCAACTATCAGTTCTCCATGGAAGCAGCAAAATATAAAAACATCCTTGAAATCAGTACAGGGCCCTTCTGCTAGGGTCTGGTGACGTGGTTTTGAGATTCTTTGTCTTGGATCATTCCTCATTTGTTGGACCCACAAATAATGGTCCTGCCTAGAACCATCACCACAAGCTAGAGTGAAAAAATGCCAGAAGACTAGGCTAGTGGGTAAAAAACTCAACATGTTTCCTCATGATTAACCTTGGGTGGCCTTAACAAGTTATGTAAGGTTTTGTTTCTACAGAAAGACACTGCATTTTTAGAACATCTCAGTTAAATTAGTCACATAACTGAAAGACAAGAAAATTTTAAGCATATATTATAAATAAATGTGAATATTAGGGGTGTGTATCCAAACATATGAATAGCTCTGAAAAGAATAAGACAAAAAGCTCAAACATACTTGAAATCAGAGAGATGTCGTTTGGGAACTGACCTCTCGCCATGAGCAGGAGAAAACCAGAAAGGTCTTCATGAGTTCTGCTATCTCTTCAACCATTCATTCATGATGTGTTGCTGGAAAAAAATCACGAATGTCTTCAAGCCTCATTTTCCTTATCTGTATCTGCCCAAGATCTCACTGGGTTCTTGTAAGAATCAAATATGACAACACAGTCATTCCTGAAGTGCGACTGCAGACCAGTAGCATCAGAAAGCCGGGAACTCGTTCAAATGCAGCTGAGTCCCACCCAGCCGTAATAAATGAGTTATTCTGATGCACCCTGAAGTTTGAGAACCACTGCACAAAAACAGATACAATCTGAAACATCTTAAAACACTGGAGTGTTGTTACTATGGAAAAAATTACAAATAATACATTGAAGATTTTAAGAACTTTCACTTACAATTGGATACAGAAGAGGCTATGTGTGGCTTTTGTTGTTGTTTTTGTTGTTGTTGTTGAAACAAGGTGTCACTCTGTCACCCAGGCTGGAGTGCAGTGGTATTAGTATAGCGCACTGTAGCCTTGAATTCCTGAGCTCAAACGATCCTCCTTCCTCAGCCTCCCAAGCAGGTGGAACCACAGGCATGTGCTATCATGTTCAGCTAATTTTTATTTTATTTATTTACTTTATTAATTTATAAGAAAAGAGGTTTAATTGAAGAAATTGGCAAAAAGAAAGGGGCTACAGAACTCATGCAACTTCGGAACCCAGCAGGGCAGCCATTAAATCTGACAGCTCCAGAATAACCTGGCTCATTTTTATCTTTCTTCTGTCATGATGACGTCTTGCTATGTTGCCCAGGCTGGTGTTGAACTCCTGGGCCGAAGCGATCTTCCTACCTCGGCCTCCCAAAGTGCTGGAATTACAGGCATGAGCCTAACCTATGTGTGGCTTTTTTTAAAGCTAAGATTTGCAGTTAATGTAAATGCTACAATAAAATAAAATCCAAAATTATGGTATCTATCAATGTTAAAATGCACTATTATTTCCTTGTAACTTTAAAAGGATTGAGGGAAAATAAACAAAATTAGTAATGATTGTAATGATTACATATTCTTTAAAAGAGTAAATATGAGACTAAATGTATTTCAATCCAATTATTAATAAACGAAGAGTAAACTTGAGATTAGCTCTCTCTAGGGAAAAAAGAGAGCAATAAGTCCTCCTGGGATCTTCCCATTTTCTTGGCAAGAGTAATGCATTCGTTGCTTTTAGAAAGGTAAAAGGTAAAATCAAAAAATAATAATAAATGTAGTTACAAAAGATGCATTTCAATTGATAAACGAGGTTTTTAATGTAATGATTATGGGAAATCTTGGAGGAGTTCTAATAAGTAGAGCCAAATTAAGAACAAAATATGCTAAGAAAACTGAGAAGTCACATTAAGATTGTTTTTCATTCTCTATTCTATTTAAACCCAATAAAACAGGTTAAGACAAACAAAAGTATTCCTCATGAGAAATATCCTTAGGTCCCATTTATCGTCATATCTCGTTTATTACATCCAGTTAAGAAAATACAGTACTACAGCCTCTGACACATTAGAGACAACCTGAGAGCCACACTGGTAGAAATATACATATCTGAAAACATTCTGGGATGAAGTAAGGAAGAAGAGATTTGAAGAATAAATTAACATTTAAAACACAGTAATAGAAATAGAAATCGTTCAATGAAAAGACTTGTCCATAAAAAGCAAAATTACCAGCTCTCTGGAGATTTAAATTAGATTGTACTGACGAATACATTCTTCAGAACATGTTTATTTGTGTGATTTTTTAATGCACCCTTCAATAAAACTCTGGACTACGCAGGATACTAGACTGAGTACCTGTGACAAAAGAGGCAGCCCCAGCCGTGGCCTTGTGGTTTGGCCTGATGTACAGAGACAGCAAGCGCCACTCACTCAGCCACCACTGTCACACTGGCACCCCACGTTTCTCTCCAGGCTTCTTCCCCACAGTACAAATCCGATCCAAATTAGCTGCTAGTCATAATCAGCAGAAGGGACGGAGAGGCCTTAGGGTTACATTAGACACAGCCCTAGCGGTCTTCTCTTACTTCCTCAGAGACGGCCTCCACCAGCAGCACGTTTCCTGCAAATCTACAATCAGGTCTTCCGAGCTGCAATCGGCTACTACGGTACTTGCAGCTCTCCAGGTACTCACGCTTCTTTTCCTCCCTCTTTAATTCTAGGCCTTCTTTTCTTTCTTCCCTGACTTTGTGTCCCCTTTCAAACTTTCCCTTTTATTCAAACATACACTGAAATGGCAAAAGCAGCAAAACATCCTAAATCATGCTCACTTAAGCCACCGCTGGGGAACAAAATGGACACAAATTGATCATTATGTTCTCTCACGTGGGGGTGGCACACAATTAAGAGCGGTATGCTGTTTTTATGTACCTCTCTATAACTGCGGCTCTAAAGGTTCCTCATTCCATTATGAAACGTAAGAGGTACATGAGCAATGGCACTATATTGGG